GTGGGGGTGCGGGGGGCGGTGGGGGGACCGGCGCTCCAGCGCGGGCCCTGTTTTCCGGGTCACGCGGCCGCGCGGAGGCGGCGCCCGGCGACACTGAGGGCGCCGTGTGGAACGAAGTTGAGCGCTCGGGAGTGGCAGCTGCTTGTTGCGCGCCGCTCTGAGGCCTTCCTGCCTCTCCGGACACTTGAGCCAGTGACGAGGTGACCGGGGCTTCGGGCTGACCTGAGTTATGGAAGAAAAAGGGAATAGTGTTATTTTATCGTGTGACTTTTAGACTCTTTGAACAGTGTCGGGAAACCTAGTTTTGCATTCGTGTGTCATGCACCATCATATAGTTATCATGAGTGTGCAGTAACCTTTGGTAGAATTTACAGCATGACCAACTCGCCTTGTTCGCCGGGACTTCCCGTTTTGGGTCCCAGAAGTCTCGTGTCCCGGGAATCCCCCGCTCCCTCGACCCCGGGCAAACCAGGAAGGTTGGTGACCTCATTTGTCCACTGTCTTTAGCCTGGAGGGAGGACGCCGGTCATAAGCCGAGCACGGAGACTGCAAACCTGTGAAGCTGATTCCAGCCTTTGACCTAGAACAGTATCTACAGGGCTTGACACTGTCAGACGACTAAACAGAAACAAAACATGCTGTCAGCATTAGGCAGGGGAAACGCCAGTAGCTTTTGAAAACGCACAGCTATTTTGGATGACAAAATAGTGAGATGGGAGGCAGGATAACCTAGTGGTCGGGAGCGAGTTCTGGGTTCCAACTGCTGCACATCAAATCAGGCTCCGCCCCTGATTAGCTGTGTGATCTTGGGAAAGTTACTCAATATCTCTGTGCCCATATGTCCTGAGTCACAAAGTAGGAAAGTGGTCGCACTTACCTCAGGTTTATTGGGAGGATTAAATCTAATACATGCCAGCTACTTTCAAACCTGGATATTAGTGTATTCTGCTCACTGAATAAGGTTTGCACCACTTCTTCCTTTTGCTTGATAGAGTCTCACTTGAAAAGAGAAGTTTGGGGTTGAAGCTGGTTTTCTGTAAAATGTTAATAAAATGTTCATAAGAAGTAAAAATTAAATATTCAATAAAACAAGGAAGAGATTGTAAATCCAAAACCATTTGACTTAAGAGCAAGGTACTATGACTTCTTATGTCTAAGTTTCAAGTATTAAGTGTATGTCTCCATCTAATCCCCTCAACTGAATATAATAAAATTTATTGTTCACCCTTAAATTATGCTTCAGAAATTACCTTTGACCTAAAATAGATTTTGCTGTGGGCAGGTGAAACCTATCTATCTATCTATCTATCTATCTATCTATCTATCTATCTATCTATCTATCTATCTATGGTTGTGTTTTTATTTAAATCAGGTGAACACCTGTAACAGATAAGTATACCTAAATCTCATAAGCTTTTGGGAAGATTGTTAATATTTTTGGCTAACATCAAGATTTTGTTAACTTCGTAAAAGAGATTTTTGTTGATGTGTTAGGATTGTAAAACAATAGATGCGGCTAGAACCTTAGGGATCTAGGCTCCTCAGAGGACAGATAACAGGCAGCTTCGTTCTGTCTTTCATCTTTGTCTCCCAATGTCTAATATGGGTGGTGACCAGTGTCTGTTGAGCTGAAAATTCAACCGTAGTCCTGTTGCAGTGGCCATCTCAGGCTGCCTTCTTTCCTTGTTGCATTATCACAGTAACCTCCTAACTGACCTCTCAGACTTAATTTGGGCGCTCTCTCCACCCTTTTCTAATTCATGAAATAAGGTTGATTGTATAGCAAATTCAGTTACATCAGATCTGCTTCTTAAAATTCTTTAGGCTCACTCCTGGGCTCAACCCTCCCAGTTGTAGGACTTCAGAGGCTGTGGTTCACACTGTGTTAGTGCAGAATGACAGTCCCTGCCTACCTCTCCTCTCACCACTCCTGCCTTGAAGCTTAAATGCCAATCTTATGTACCTGAGACTCCTCCAATGTGCCCTGCTTGTCTTATAATACTTCGTGTTTTCTCTCCTTTTCTGTCCTAACCTTCGAAAGTATTTTAAAAACCTAGACTGGATCTTTATATCTTTCTTTGCACTCCTCATCCCCACCCATCCACACAGGTAAACATTTCTCCCTCTCTTGTGCCCACAGGACTTTGTATATTTCTTTGGGTTAGCACTTAGCACACTGCGCTTCATTATTTAATGTCTTCTCAGCCCCCACCCAGAGCTCCTTGAGGAAGGAAACATCGTTATAATTGTGTGTCCCTTCTTCCTAGTATAATGTCCTACACATAGTAGATCCTCAATAAATATTGGTTTAAGGAATGTTGGTTAATTATTAAGAAAATAGAAAATATGTTCAATTTAATTATAATTATCTTTGAATAATCTTAGTGTATGGTTTGGGAAATTAAATATCATTTTGAAAAATATTCCTTTATTCAGTAAATATTTGTCTACTAAATAAGATCTGGAGCTATAAAACATTTTCAGATATGGTTACCATCTTCAAAATTCTCACAGTGGTATCAGGGAAGTATGCATTTATCAAAGTACTTTTAATGTATAATTTGCTACTAAGTATATCATTGGAGTTTATTCACAGGATAACAAATAAAATGTATACTTACACGGTTTGGGCTGAGTTTTGAATGTTTTCTCTAAAAATGTTGACAGTGAAATTGAAATCTAGATTCTAAAATGTGCAAGAAGAACCAAATTCCTATTAGAATCTAAGTTGATGGTTTCTTTTTCTTTATTAGACGATTTTCCTTCCGCCCGGCACCAGATCCTTATTGTCAAGCTAAATATACTTTCTGTCCAACGGGCTCACCTATCCCAGATATGAAGGGTGATGATGTCATTGAAGTCTTTCGGTTACAAGCCCCAGTATGGGAATTTAAATATGGAGACCTCCTGGGACACCTGGTAAGGATGTGTATTGACCTTACAACTTTAATTAAATGATGTCATTATTGAGTGGATTTGAGGGAACAGTCACTATTCAAATGGCTGATTTTATTGGGTTGTTGGAAAAGTCCTGACGTAATTTTTCTACGTTTTTCGTTGCAAAACTGTATCATGACTTTTCCGACAACCCAAGATCATCTTTATTGGTTTTCCTCTTAGTGTATTTAAAATGAGTAGTCACGAAAAAATATTAACAGGTTTTGTGATCCTGACAATAATAAATGCAATTGCTCTAATCCATTTCAATATTCCGAATCCAAGCCCAACTCCTGTATCCAGCTGCTAGAAAGTAAGAAGAGAGGACATCCAGAGGAAGGAGCAAGGCAGGCAGGAAGCACTTCATTTCCAGGCCCTGCTGTATGCACTTTTCCTAGATTAACTCACCATTGAACCTCTCCTCACCTGTGTGGCACATAGAGTTCCTTCCTGAGACTATGGCATGGAGGCTTCTCGTACTCATTCTAAGATGTATGGAAATTATGAACGTGTCCACGTAGCATATGTCCTTCCTATGTGAAATGAGTTGCAGTGGCCAAAATCAGAGCGGGTGAGGGCCTGGATTCTGAGGAGCCACACAGTGGACACGGGACTAGCGACATGAAAGGAACAGCTGAGCAGTGGTTCTACTTGCTATGCAGTTGTGATATATCATATTTTCTCCCACCTGCTTCCTGGACCAGTGGTTGCTTCACAGATACTTTTATACATGTATGATCTTTACACAGAAAATTATGCATGATGCGATTGGATTCAGGAGTGCTCTAACTGGCAAGAACTACACAATGGAATGGTATGAACTTTTCCAACTTGGAAACTGCACGTTTCCCCATCTCCGACCTGAAATGAATGCCCCTTTCTGGTGTAATCAAGGAGCTGCCTGCTTTTTTGAAGGAATCGATGATAATCACTGGAAGGAAAACGGGACATTAGTTCAAGTAGCAACCATATCAGGTAAGTTTAAAAAACATGGCAGTATTTGATCATTACGTCAATATCTAAATGATAGACATTATTTTATTGAGGCATTTCCGTAATGTACTTTATAGGGGTCAATTTATCAAATGTACTTCTGGAACCACTAACCTTTGACTCAAACTATTATTCATGCAAAACTTTAGCTGTCAGTGATAAGTAGCTCATCTGCTCTATTCCCATGGTGAAAATGAATGAAATGGTAAAACACTTTGCACAATTTAATTGGACTTCTTAAATAATAGAGGGAAGTCCATAAAATACCTGAAAAAAATCATTGATTAAAGGACCTGTTAGCTTTATCTGGAAAGAAGCTTTTAGTGATGATAAGTTAAAATGTTTTTATGCCGAAAAATAATAATAGCTACCACTCATGTGGACTTAACTCTGGGCCTGGCAGTGTACTGCGGTACATATGTCACATCATTTATCATCACAACCACCCCGAGATAGTTGCTACTATTTCCATTTTACAGATGGGGAAAATGAGGAACAGAATTAAAAGTCTCAACTAAGGAAGTGGGACTCCAACCTTGGCAGTCAAGCCCTATTGACCATTTTCTTAACTACTTTGCTACATTGCCTCCCAAAACATACGTGATCTTATCGATTTGAGGCCTCTTGAGCTATTTAAATATTTTATCGCTGAGATTTTCTGTTCTTTTGGATGTATTTGAAAGTTGCCGAAACAGTTGTGTTGCATTTAGTACATGATGAAGAAAGTTGTTCAGAACTTTTTTCAGAAACTGGTTAGGTGACCTTGGTCACATTTTACCTCGTTGACTGATTGCCTCATGTGTAGATTGGGGCTGAGGCTCTCACTGCTTTTGGAGGCAGGGAGCTTGTTCATATCATTTATAGAGCGCTACATTATAAACTGTTGTTCTCCAAAAGATGGAAACATAATGAAAGCACTGTTTGTGATAGTAATTATTCAATGAATCAGAGGCCTTGAGGAACTTATCATGCTTCCACTTGTATAGCTCTTTACAAAGCATTTTGGAATCTGTTCAGTGGGAGGATAAGATACCCTTGTTTTTACAAATAAGGAATTGAGGTTCAGCCAGGTGGCATGACTTACCTGTCTCTTAAGGTCACAGAGCTGGATGTAGAACCAGGAGTAGCACTGGCGTCTCTTAAATGAAATCTGAGGATCTTTTAACTGTACACGATGCTGTTTTCTTCTGTCTCATTGATGTGCCCCAAACCACCCCAGCAATGTAAAAGTCCGTTTTTCTCTTTTAACGATGTCTGGCATAATAAGTAGCTACTCTTCCCTTCATTCTAGGCCAGTTCACATCGCTCATTTGTTTCCACCCACCTCATTATCTGAAAATCCTTCCTTCTGACATAAATGTATGAACATATGAACAAGTGATCACTAGTTTCTGTAAGATAGCTTGTAATATTCCGTTACTTAAATCTTTTAAGTTATCCATCTGCCTTGTGATGAATCCTGTTCATTGACCTTTCTTCATGTTATAGTGTTTTGAAGCATTCTTTTCCAAGTTGAAGAACACTAAGAACAGTATCCCCAGTTTTAAGAAAACAGATGTTACATTATTCCACAATTTTAATTCCATAAAATTGACAAAGGCAGCCACTCTATTCATTTCATAGGACATGAAGTACTGATTTTATGGACTCAAGTTGGAGTAACCTAATACAGGTTCACACAGAGTGACAAAATGAAATATTGGGACAAGCCCTTTTAGGCATTACAGATACCCAGATGAGGGTGTAACTGTGCAAAGTATTAACACCTAGAGAGGTTTTTCTGCTCTGGTACAAGGTGATAAGAGTGTTAGCTGTTTAGAGGTCTGTGTAGTCCATGAACTTGGCCAAAAACATTTCCAGTTTTAGTGGATTCATTGGAAGAATTTGTGTGGTGGGTGGGAAGGTTGTAAGCAAGTCCCAATAGGTGCAAGTACAGAGAGGAGGAAATACCAGACATTGAAGGTGGATGGGTACAGAGCTTCCTCTGATCAGCTGAGTAGGCCTGCCTGCTGGAGCAGCTGGTCCTCAGGCCTCCATTGATACTGTCCCCATACCTGCTTTGCAACAGGAAAGCTCTGCATTCCACCCTCCTCAGTGCTTCTTACACTGACTTGGACCCGTTCACTCTTAACTCTTCCAGTTTTTCCTTGATTTCTTTTTCTTTTTTTGTCTCTGAATCCAAGATTTGTTGAGTGGGGTAACGAAGCAGGGCTTCTGCATGTGTATAATTTTGCTTTTTACTATAGTTGAAATGATTATAGAATTAGTATGTAAGACTTCTCTTTATCACCTATTATATGTTATATATGTTTACAATTCAGAAATACCTTGTGCCTTGAAAAATTGGAATAAAAATGGACTGAGCTTCGATTCCTAATATGAGATGCAGGTTTGGAAATTCAGAAACTATTGTTTATTCATGTACATTCATGACCTTGCTCTGGTTAGAACATTTTAAACTAATGTGATTGATTAGCTTTGATAGTCATATAAATGATTTTTTTTTTTTAACTAGGAAACACGTTTAACAAAATGGCAAAGTGGGTAAAACAGGACAATGAAACAGGGATTTATTATGAGACATGGACTGTCCTAGCCAGCCCAGAAAAAGGGGCAGAGACATGGTTTGAATCCTACGACTGTTCCAAATTTGTGTTAAGGACATATAAGAAGTTGGCTGAACTTGGAGCAGAGTTCAAGAAGATAGAAACCAAGTATACAAGAATATTTCTTTACAGTGGAGAACCTACTTATTTGGGAAATGAAACGTCTGTTTTTGGTCCAACAGGAAACAAGACTCTTGCCTCAGCCATAAAAAGATTTTATTACCCCTTCAAACCACATTTGTCAACTAAAGAATTTCTGTTGAATCTCTTGCAAATTTTTGATGCAGTGATTATACATAGACACTTCTATTTGTTTTATAATTTTGAATATTGGTTTTTACCTATGAAATTCCCTTTTATCAAAATAACATATGAAGAAATCCCTTTATATAACAGAAACAAGACACTCCCTGGTTTATAAAGCCTTAATTCTACTTTTTTTTCCTCCTACCACCAGCATATCAGTTTTTCAGGGAGTGGCTTTACATTTGTGTTTCTTAGGCCTTTCTTCTTTGGGGCAGAAAGGTAAAATGAACATGGACAGAATTGCTGCACAATCATCTCAGGAATTTTTTTTGAAAGTTGAAACTCTTACAGTGTTGGCCAAAGTTGAGCACATTACATGATCTTGATTTCAATCTCCATGCCTTTGTTAATATAGAGCATTATTATAGTTTATATCAGATAAATAGGCTTTTTGGACCCAACATTTTAAAATTGTGGAAACTGTGTGCCAAGATTTTAAAATTACCCTCTGACATTTTCATAGTGGAAGATACTTTTTTTCTGGTACGGTACTTATAGGTTTTTCATAAGTTTTTTTTTGGTAGTTTAGACTGACTTTACAGCTCTTGCAACTTTTGAAGCTGTGCTGTTAAGATTTTATTCTATTCACTTAACCTTAAAGACTAATGTGGACCATAGCTAGAGTGATTTGCTTCCAGATGTAGTAAATACATTGATGAAGAGCACAAGTTTTTGGCTGGCATTTTAGAACCAGTAAGTGGCACTGTGTAATTTAAGCATTTTAACATCTTCGAACCCGTTTCCTTATCTCTAAAATAATTCATCTGTCAGGACTGTTGTAACGATTGAAGCCATGTATGTTTGACATAGTAAGGTCACAAGAAATGGTAGCTGCAATGATTAAAGAACAAACTGCCACCCGTGATCTTCCCTAATGAAGTTTACTTGCCAGTGTTTCCTGGGTTTTGTAATAAACCACCTAGACTTTGAGCTGGCAGCAATGTTTCTGTAGCTCTTCAATTGTGTAGGGCAGGGAAGCATCTGACTGCAGACAGGTCTGGATGAATAGGCGCCCTCTGTGTCCTTCATTGCTTCTTGTAGTCCTCCTCCCGCCCACTAAAGCTGCCAGCTTTAGGGGCTAAACTGCCCACAGAGACAGGACACGTATGTCAAGGATCTCCAAGTAGCTGTGCTTCCTTCCATTAGAGACATCAAACAAGGTTACAAGGACCTTTAACTATTTGATGATCAACTGAACACATGAACGTTGTTTCTATTCATGGAAAAAAAAGCAGTATGATGATGAAGCTGAGACCAGAGGAAAAGAAAACCAGTGTTTAATATTTAATGTACCAATTATATATTCTGTTTCTACTAACATTTGAGAGCTTCCTCAGAGGTTAGTACATGATCACTGAGTTCTTATAGAAAGCCTAAATATAGATACTATTTACCTGATCCAAATGAGCTAATTGGGCCTTAGAAAGGTTAAGTGACCTTTCCACAGCTACCCAGCTAGTGGTAACGGAGCCACATTTTGAACCAGGTTCTACTGACTGAAGGGGATGCACTGTCCAGCCAGCTTTGCAGCACTACTCAGTGTGGTCCTCAGACAATGCCTGCTTCATGTGTTACTAACACCATATGTTATGGTCTGTAGGAGACAAATACAGATAATGATAGCAAGTATTTAGTAACTTAAAACAACTTGTTGGAGTAATTTTCTGTTGAATCTAATAAAAAAATTGGGGCTTGTATTTTGTGTCTTAATTCATTTGTCTAGGAATTCATTTTTATTGTATTTTTAAAAACTATAGGTACTGCCACAGTCTGAAAATAAACTCAGCCCTTTACTATAGCTTGAAAACATGCAGTTAGGCCTACTGTACATGGGGGTTAAGTCTTGCTGAATGAAGTACACAGGGAGAACTTGGCTCTTTGCATCATCGCCATCTAGTGGCTAAGATTGGATAATCGCAACTTCTGGATTCTTGGGAAAACAGATTTTGGATTTACAGAACTGAATTGGAGTAACACGCAAAAACTCTTGTGCCAAGTGTGTGTTAACTGTAAATCACAGACCCTGGTTCCACAGAAAAGGCAACTGAGGACATCTGTACATGGAACTTGAGTTTTAAAGCAAGATTCTAATAGTTATGTTACAAAAACATTCAGGATTTTTCACTGTTCCTAACAATATTAATAAATGAAGAAATTCTGTGAAAGCAACATATAGACTCAGGTGACTATAGCACAGAGAGCATGGCATTCATATAAGTGAGGACTTAAGAACTTATTAAACCTGCCAACTACTTACAGGATGAAGTAGGGCTTTGGAGTAGCAGTGATTCAAGAATATGCTTTCAAAATGGGAGTTGGGAAACCAAAACGTGGCCAGGCAGGAATTTGCCAATTAAACTTTGTGGACCTTAACTACTGTAGAACTTGTATGTGGTTTCTAGTTTTCTGTTAAGTTTTAAGTGTATAAAACTTCCTCTATTTCTACAATAAAACATTTTTGAATTATACTAGGGCTTTACAATAAATATATCCTTATTAACTAATTATGGCTAAGTATTATATACAGAGGGTGCCAAAAAATGTATACACATTTTAAGAAAGGAAAAAACTATTAAAATTGTAATAATACATACTGATAACAAAAGATGACAAGTCATGTCTATACATTTTTTTGGTACCCTCTATATATTTTTGTAGGTATAGGAATACAGTCAAAAGGTAAAAAACAAAACTTTAAAGACTTGGAACCCTCAATGAAAACTGGTTCCTTTTTAGAAATCAGAAAAAAAACATTAGGGAGTTTCATCGTTTCATAATATGCTCTGGTGTCACATAATGAATTCTCTAGGACTGTAGTTCCTATAAGATGTTGACTTCATTTTCCTCATATTTTACCCTTTATTGTCCAAGTACCTTCCTGCTCCTGAAACTTTCTACATTTTCTCCCCTTTTTAAAACAAGAGAATGTTAGTCACATATTCTTTCATTAGATTAATTATTCTAAGGATAAGGTCTTAATTTACTTTGAAGAAAAAGGCTTTGTGTGTGTGTGTGTGTGTGTGTGTGTGTGTGTGTATATATATATATATATATATATATATATATATATATATATANTATATATATATATATATATATATATATATATATATATATATAAATAAATAAAAAATCTCCTTTTCAAAGGACAGTTGGGTGTCAGCAAACAGGTCAACTTTTCCTGGCCACTTGGTAACATTAAAACCAGCCCCCGAGATAAACTACTGCTGGAGTCGGTGCAAAGATTGTTCCCAGCTATGTATGGGGTACAGATTACTTATGGCTTCTTAAACTTAGTTCAGGCCTGAGCATTCTTCACACCAACCCCTCCCCTTCTATCCTAAGCTTTTCTATATATAAAATTATTCAAATGCAATAAATTGATTTAATCTTTGATCATTCCAGTTTTTTTATAATATTAACATAGCCCAGATTACCAAAGTAAACTGAAGTTGTTTTAGGGAAGCTGTTAAGACAGGAGATGAAAATAGTTTCAATCGTTTAAAAACTGTTCTCATTGTATAGATTGATATAAAGACATTTCTCTCTAAAAAGGCTGTCACAGGGGTTCAAGAACTCTCAGAATTCTATTTCTAAATAATCTGTTTTATAAATTATTCTAAATGTACAAAGAACCTGTTATTTTTAATATAACCATTTTCTTTATAAAATTTGAAGAATAAATTTACATTTCATGGTCAATTTTTAATTTCCTATCACTTTAGGCATCTGAGCTTCATTCAAGAATAGATTACATTTGCCTAATCTTGTATCTTCAAAAATGTCACTCTATAAATGTTATTAATGTTAAACATCAAATATAGATTTGGAACTAAAACCATAAATTTCTAAGTTTAGCTTGTTTTTAAATCAATTAAGTATGTAAGTTAGGGTAGTTTTTAAAAATTGTAATACAACAGCATTAGTAACTATCTTTATTCTTAAATTGATAAAAGCATTTAACACATAGGTTACAGTATAAACAAATTTAACACATAGGTTACAGTATAAACAAATTAAGTGCTATACATTTTGCTTATAAAATGACTTAATGTATTTCAAGCATTATATAATTCCATTTGTACAAAAAGTACATTTCCAAATAAAGCTTTGGTTATAACTGAATATGCACTGTCAAATCCATTTTCCAAAAGTTGTTCAAGGGAAAAAAGGTTCATTCACTAACATAGGTATTTCTTGTACAAAGTTTTATACTATTTAGTTAGAGGGGGGAATATTATAATAATTTCCAAGTTTGGATCATCCTTTTTTCTTCTCATTTATATGTGGCCAGAATACCATCACTTTAAAAAAGCCTGATTTATGTAGAAAAATCACCTTTTGCTTTATTCTTAGGAAGGTAATCTACTGTAAAAATAGATTAGATCTGGAAGACTGTTAGCTTCCATAACTAACAAAATGCTTTGTAAAGGTTTCAAGCATGGGAATAAATCACTTCTAATTTCCCTTAGGAGGGTAATATTGACAAGCACTAGTGCTCAGAATCAAAGTTTATATAGTATCTAAAAAAAACTAAATGTAGCCCAAAACTTAACTTTTTACAGATTCTACAATGTATGGATTACCTTTATTCATATAAAGCAGGGGTGTCAAACTGGCGGCCCGCGGGCCACATGCAGCCCTCGAGGTAATTTTTTGTAGACTCGTCTTCAGTAGTTAAAGGGTTAACAAGGGAATTGTGTGTATGGTATTGCCTCGATCTCCCCTAAGCGCTATTTTCTTCATAAAAATTTTTTCTATTTTCATTTTATTTCAGAGCATCGTGGGCCACAAAAAATTACCTCGAGGGCCGCCAGTTTGACACCCCTGATATAAAGTAATAAAAATGCTAGGTAACTTAATATAAAATATCAGTTTAACCAAATTAACAATCACAAAACTGTAGACATTTTTCTATTAAAATTTTCCAGTCCACTGAGCAATATTTACTCAAAAATATTATGAACTTAAATATATCCTTGTTTAAATTTACTGTTTATGCTGAACTGTACACTGATGCTCCTTTTATAATTTTTGAAAACCCTACTTACATAACTATATAATTCCAAATGGAAAAATTAGCCATCACTAAGATTCACTGGAGACTAATATTCTTTCATGGAAATAATTTTTTAAATATTTTAAAGTTCTACCTTTAATTATTTCAATTTAGCTTTTTTAAAATAGATAAGCTTTTCATTTCAATTATTGTATAACACTTCAAAACTAGTTTAAACAAAGATGAACAAAACCAAGGAGAACTGGTAAAGCATTCCTCACCTTACATATGATGCCTCAAGTGCCACATACATAGTAACATATCACAAAACAGAATGTATATGCTTTAGCAGATTACACAGTAAATCTAAAAGTATACAAAGCTAAACACTGCCTCCCTTCTATTGTTTATTTTCTTTTAGTTTGATCTTGGCTGTTTATTATCCTTCTATAATAACCACTGCGTGACATATATATCAGTTTTCTAAGTGTTTCAATTACTTACATATATATACCTCATTAAACAGCTTTATAACATTTGAGAATAATAAACCAATCTTTTTCATTAGATATGAAATATCCTACATTTTTCTCACAAAATGCTCACTTTCCTGAGCTATATTAAACACCTTATAACAGGTGTATGTATAACAAGACCCTAAAATGTCAAGTTTACATTTTTAAAAAATGCATAGACAACATAACACTTTGGAAAATCTATTAGTACTCACTTCTTGGATATTATATAGGTTTTGTTCCTTCAGATCGTAAAATCTTTCATCTTTATAACAGGTTATTACTTTCAGTTTAGAACCACATTTTTTTTTTCTTGGTTTTCTGCAATTTGATTGCTATTAGGCTAAAGAAACAGATCAAGTTTTCTGACCAAAACTGGTCCATGGGTCTTCTAATAAACAATCCTTATATACTCAATGCAGATAATCAAATTTCTGTGCCACAAAATAGAATTACATCAGAACTACAGGAAATAAACTTTTATCATGATACAAATGCTTAAGAGTTAAGGTGCTATTTATTCATTATGCCCCATATCATTCGGTCTTTACCATGTGGGCATCATGTCTGGAAACCATACCCTACCAAGATGCTTGGACACTTCCCAATGAATCTGCTCCAAGCTATACTTTTGGTCAGGAATTAATACTTCTTCCATAATGGATAATTGAGACAGGCGGCCACCACACATCTTCACAAACTCAACAAAGGCACTACATGAGACTTCACATTCCCCTAGTCCAATAGCTGACAAATTTTTGCAACGTTCTGCAATTCGAATTAACTCTTCATCAAGAGGCCGTAATCCATTAGCACACACTACTAGTTCAACTAGTCTAGGGCACGTCATTCCCACACGGCCAAGCACATCTTTGCTTACTGATCTCCCAAAGTAAAGATGGGTAGCAGGTATTTCATACCGAAAGAATGGATCAAATTCCTCTTCATATAAAAAAAAATACATCACTAGGTTCACCTTGGGTGAATGTCTGATGAAAGCATCCCAGCTGCTCTTCTGAATCGTATGGAAGTGTGTCTGTCCAGGATTCTCACTGACTACATCAATGCGCAAGTGTTCTAATCGAACGTGTTTCTCAGAAGATAAAGCAAGCAGCAATTCATCACTTAACAAGTGGTAATTCAGGGCCAGTTCACGTAAGCCATGACACTGATCAGCCACACAAAGGATACCTTGGAAGAAAAAAGGCCTGATTATTTATAAATTTCTGTAAAAGTTCATCATCTGTTCAAAAATTTAATCAAGTACATTATCCCACAAGAAAATCTTATCATATTTCCCTTAGCACAAAGCTATATAATTTAAAATTTACTTGTATGGGGCCGGCTGAGTGGCTCAGTTGGTTAAGAGCTCGCTCAAGAGTTTGAGCTCTGAGCAACAGCGGTTAGATTCCTGACCCGAGCTGAGCAGCTGCTGAGATGCCAACAGGTGGCAGGATGGCTCAGCTTAAAAAAAAAAAATCAAAATAAAATTTACTTGTATGGTTGTAGCAGAAAGTAGGTGACAAACATTTAAAAATCTATTACTGATTTTGTCTAAGAAAATGAGACTAATTCTAAATCTTATATCTTAAAAAGAAATGAAGCTCACTTATCAACAGAAAAATCAAATTACTAATTGTATCATTTTAAAATATACCACGATTGGCCTGGCCAAGTGGCTCAGCTGGTTAAGAATGTGAGCTCTGAGCAAGAGAGTCGCCGGTTTGATTCCCACATGGGCCAGTGAGCTGCGCCAGAGCTGAGCTGCGGCTGAGCTGCCAACAGGTGGCAGGATGGTTCAGTGGTTAGAGCGTGCGCTCCTAACAACAAGGTTTCCACTTTGACTCCCGCATGGGATGGTGGGCTCTGCCCACCCGCAACTAAGATTGAACACAGCACCTTGAGCTGAGTGGCCGCGAGCTGCTGATGGCGACTGGACTTGGAGCTGAACTAGCCTGCACCCTCCACAACTAAGATTGAAGAACAACAACTTGGCTGTTCCCCAACACTGTTCCTCTTCCCCAATATCCCAATAAAATATTTTTAGAAAGTAAATAAAATATACCATGACTAAGTAAGGTTTATCCCAGTAATGCACAGCATCATTTTTTTAAAAAAATTGATTACTAACACTAAACTTACAGGTTAAGCAAGAAAAATTACATGATCATTGCAACAGAAGCCAAAGAACATTTTTTGAAATGCAAAACCTAATCTTAATCAAAATAAAGTAAAACCATATAAAATATGAATTATGTAAATAAAATATTTGATTTAAAAAGATTTCTATCAAATGAGCAGAGTTTAACTGCTAATAATATATAATGAGCTTGCCAAGTTTCTAAGAAAAAAAAAAACCAAGATACCATTAGATAACTGAGTCAAAAGATAACTATCCAATTCACTGTAATGGAAACATACATTATGACTTTTAAAGCTCTCTTTAAATGTTTCTTATGCTTAAGGCACTATGCTTCAAAACTGTTCCAAACCCCTATAGCAGCAGTTGACTTACCAAAGGTCAATATCTGATCTCCAAAGTGGCCTAGTAAGAACTCTGCCTTGAAGACCCAATACTACTTGATAAATAATCCACTGAAACCATTTCTTTCTTGTGTTTAGCAAAACATACACTGTATTATCTACTATTTATTGTACAAGTATGATATGTTGGATACTAGATATGTTATGCTACAAATACTCAAACCTAGATAAGTATTTCTATTTTGAAGTTGAAGCGGTTAAAGACAGCACAGCTGGAATTCAAACAAAGACTCAGTGATGAGTGACTCTTAAGTTCATGCACTTAACTATGACTTAAGATGTGACAAGACTGAGGCCACCAATAAGCCGAAAGCTTTATCGCAGTAGGAGAATACAGGCAATAGAATCAGTGGAGATAAACTAAATCACCAGTATAAAAGAGTCACCAGAAAAGGGAGTAAAAGACATCTGTACTGCACCATTCAGCCACTGCAAAATTTCCGTTTAACAAGGTATGTTTATACTTTAAAATAAAGCCTGATCACCCAATGTAACCTGAATACATCTCTGTTCTTTGCAATCTCATAAAGCCTGATATAAAAAGAAAACAAACACATGGGAAATGGTAACCAAAGATCCATATAAAAGCAACTTTGAGATATCATTTAATAATTACTAAAACAGTAATTCTCAAAGTGGTCCCAAGACTGCATGCCCTAATTCCTGGAACCTGTGAATGTGGTATCACTCCCTTGATTTTATTACATTACATAGCACAGTTGGCTTTAAAGTATGATTATCCAGGTGATTCTCATATAACTGCATAAGCCCTTGCAAAACCCAGTTTTCTCTGACTGGTTGCAGAAGAGGAAGTCAGCGAGATTCAGAGCTTCTCTGGCCAAGCAGAGCAGCCAGCTGAGCCACACCTACAGAATCTTAGCGGTAATAAATGAGTGTCAGTTTAAGCTGCTAAATGTGGAGTTGTTAGTTATGCAGCAATAGAAAATTAATACACAGTCACAAGTGTTTAAATACTTAACACAAAATAGTGACAAAAATAAAACTGGTAAGCTGTTACAATTCAATATTAAAAAGACAACCTAATTAAAACACAGACAAAGGATCTGAATAGCAATCTCTCCAAAGATGTACAAATGGTCAATGAGCACATGAAAAGACATCTGAGTCATTAAGAAAATACAAATTAAAACCACAATGAGATACCAGTTCATACCGACTAGGATAGCTATAATCAAAGACAGATAAGGGTTGGTGAGGATGTGGAAAAACTGGAATCCTCATACACTGCTAGTGGAAATGTAAAATGGTGCAGCTGCTTTGGAAAAGTCTGGCAGTTCCTCAAATGGTTAAACAGAGTTACTATGATTCATCAATTCCATTGCTAGGTACATACCCAAGAGAAATTAAACCATACGTCCACATAAAAACTTGCATATGACTTTTTATAGCAGCATTACTCATAATAGTAAAAAGGGAAACCCAAATATCAACCAACTGGTCAAAAGATAAAAATGTGACATAGCCATACAATGGAATATTTGACAATCAAATAAAATACTGATACATTCTACAACATGGATGAACCCTGAAAACATCACATTAAGTCAAAGAAGCCAGTCACAAAGTACTACTATAGTATGATTCCATTTATATGGAATGTCCAGAATAGGCATGTCTATAGATAGATTAGTAGCTGCCCAGGGCTGGCTGGGATTAGGGTTTGAGAGGTGGGGCTGGGGGTAAAAGCTAAGAGGTATGTGGTTTCTTTTTGGGATAATAATGTTCTAAATTGATTGTAGTGATGGATGCACTACAGTCAATATGTGCTAAAAACCAAGCTGTAAACTGTATGGCATATGAATTGTATCTTAATAAAGCTGTTACAAAACTGGTATAAAAACCCACTGTTGGTTGAGTTATGGATTCATATAATTCATTTGGAAGAAAACACAGCAAGAAGCATAAAAAAGATTGGGACTTTTTGACCTAGTTCTTCCACTTCTTAATAGTTTGTCCAAAGGAAAAAATTAATAGAAGCAAACAGCTATGTGCCAAAATAGTTCATTTTAATAACCACAGCAAAAATGTGGAACACGTGTCTAACCTTAAAAGAAACATAAGGCAAATGCTGGCTTATCAACATGATAGAATACCAAGTAACTAAATGCTCACTAGTTCAGCTGATAATTAAAGAATGTCTTACATGTTAAGTACTGGTGCTAGGATAGTAAAGATACAACAGGAACAAAACATCCTGATCCTAATAAAAGGCAGCAGATAATTAAACAAAAGTGCTGTGGGAGTCATAACAAGGGAACTGGGGAAGATTTGTCAGAACTAACACAGTGAGATCTACAGAACTGGAAGGATCAAGCTAGAGCAAAAGGTGAGTGAATGCAAGTGAATGATATTTCCTGTGTGAAAACCCGGAACACAGAAGCGTTCTAAGAACTGACGGGAGCTCAATATACAGTAAGAGAACATCTTAAAAGATGAAGCCCACCAGACAGGCAAGGACTGGGTCATGTGCGACCTTGTCAGCTTTGGTAAGGAGTTTGGATCTTATCCAAAGCATAGTGAGAAGTTTTGAAGGAAGCTGGAGAAGAAACAAAAGAACAAAACAGATTTATATTTTAGAAAGATTACTGTGGCTGTACCATGGAAATCAGATTAGAGAAGAGCAAGGCTCCAAGTTAGGAAATCAGGTCAGAGGGTACAGCACAAAGATTGTAGGGGACTGGACTAGAGTAGTAAGAGTGGAAATGGAGAAAGGTACAATGTCCTAATTAGTTTGGGCTACTTAACAGAATACCACAGATGGGGTGGCTTGAACAATAAAATTTATTTCGAATAGTTCTGGAGGCTGGAAATCCAAGGTCAGGGTGACAGCATGGTTGGGTTTGCGTGAGGACCAGAACTCTTCCTGACTTCAGAGGGCCACCTTCTCACTGCGTCTTCACATGGCAGAAAGAGAGATCACCTCTCTTGTCCTATCTTAGAAGGGCACTAATACCATTGACGAGGGCTCTACCCTCATGACCTCATCACCTCCCAACCCACCTCCAAATACCATCGCTCTGGGGACGAGGGCTTCATCATATAAATTGGGTTGGGGGAGACAACCAAACATTCATTGTATGGCATCACAGAAATTCAAGGCACATTTTTCAGTGATGGAGTCACCAGACCTCCCAGAATGAAGGAATGTAGAAAGTAAAGGGAGGAGGAATCAAGGATGTCTATTAGGTCCCTGACAATCACATGGATGGTGACATTCACTGAGATAGTAAAAAGAGGGAAAAAAAGAGATCTGGAAAGGAAATTCATTAGTCTGAAGTACCAGTGAGACATTCTAGAGGCACTGGGCCATGACGCAGCTATGGGGGTATTAACATATAGAACGTAATTGAAGTCATAGATGATGAAGACAAAGCCCAGAGTTTACACAGTAAAACAAAAAAGGACTCAGTACAGAACACAGTTAAACGTTAAAATTTAAGGAATGAAAAGAAAAACCAGCAAAGGAAACAGTAGGCACAATCAGACAGGAAGGAGGAAAATCAAGAGTATGATATCAAAGAGGCAACAGACTCAAGTGTCAGATGGTGCCTAGAGGTCCAGTAACAGACAACTATAAGGACTTTATAAAATGGGATAACAGTTTGATAAGACATTCAGTAAAGACAGAAAAAAAAATAGCCCTTAATTTCAAGTTAAAGAAATCGTACAGATGTGCAAAATATGGATAGAAAGGAAATACGCAAACGTGTTCATTTTAAATTAAAGTCCTCTATTGTTATACTCTTAAATTATAAAGTCTTATAAGTACTCTTTCTCTTCCCTTCCTTTCCTGAACTAGTCCAAAGCCATTAGGTCAAACCAAGCAAGCTTATAGTATATTATCAGAATTGATACGTATATTTAATAAAAATAAATGAACATGGATGTACTGCGATAAAAATAATAATGAGCTCGGTCTCACAAAGAAACCAGAGATTCAAAGGCTCTCATACTACATAACTTGTGCTCAGCACTACAAGTTACCTACAGAGTGCTATGGAAACAATAGGTGGGGTATCTAAACCAGAGAGGAGGAGGAAACAGGAATTAAACCAGAACACAAGCTGAATTTTGAAAGCTGGACTGGAGTTATCTAGATGAAGAAATGGACAAAGAAAAAGGTACTCCATAAGGTACAGAGCACTGATGACACACACAGGTACAAAGAACTGTAGTTACATAGGGCTCAAGTAAAAGCTGCATGTGTGTGCTTAGCAAACATGGTTCAAGAGACAGGTGGAGGTCAGGATACAAAGGACCTTGTACACTGAGGCTATGAAGTATGGACCTTACTCTCATAGCAAACCTATACAGTAGATAGTAGACGTTGACCAAGTAGTAACTCTTAAATTAGATTATCATCTTTAGTGATAATCTGGAAGTGGCCAAAAAAGCTAGGAAAATAGTCATCCATCAGTATCCCTGGGGGATTGGTTCCAGGACACACACATACACACATGGGCACACACACACCCATCCCCTTCTCCCCCAACACAGATACCAAAATCCAGATGCTTAAGTCCCTTATATAAAATGGAATAATATTTGCTTATAACCTACACACATCCTCCCATATACTTTAAATCATCTTTAGATTAATTATAATACTTAATCAACAATCTAAATATTATGTAAACAATTACACTGCATTGTTTAGGGAATAACAGAAAAAAAATCTGTACATCTTCAGTACAGATGCTACCATCATAGGCCTAAGTACATAGTATACATATCAGCAACAATGTAACATTTCCCCCCCAGTATTTTTAATCCACAGTTGATTAAATCCTTGGCTGCGAACCCTGTAGATACAGGCCGTGCACTGCAAGAGACCTAGCCATTCTCATCACTGTTGGAAAGAGCTTTTATAATACTATTCCCCCCTTTGATGGGCTCTTGGCTCCAAAATCCAACTTAGGAAAGCATTATCTTGCAATAAGGTAACAACTTCAGCACAACCTTTTTTCCTCTACATAGTGAGAAGAAAAGCAATTATGAGATTGCACTGACTCAAACACCTACCGTTAGCTCAACTACAATTAGAGAAAATTCAGTTTTACCTAAAGGGGCACCTCAGACAGACCTCATATTGTCTTTTTTTTTTCCTTTTTCGTTTTCTAGCACAGGTTGGACACAAATTGCCAAATAAAAAGAAAAGAAAAGAAGTTTGAAATGTCAACACTACAGAATTTATGCTATTGTACTGACATTAAAAATACCTTTATGCAAAATAGATGAAATAATCACATTAATCTACCTTCAAGGTTAATGATCATAGATTTTCTTAATTTGATTAAACACACCAATATTTTTACTTAAGTGTGGGCAAAACACAACATACCTGCTGGAGAGACATGAGGACAGCTGCTCATTTTCAGCAGCTTGAGTGTGTCACTGTTGTTGGCCACGAGGACTTTGAGTGACGGATCATCTACTGGGGTGTCATCTATCTTAAGTGAGGATAAGGATTTGGAGTTTACAAACACCACTGTCAGTGCAGAGATAAAGTGAGACTGAAAAGCAAAAGAAATAAAACATTGTTTTAATTTTACAAATGAGAATTTGGGGGCTGTCTTATAATACATATATGGTTCATCTAAACGCTAATAATGTATTAGGTAGCTGTTTTAGAGGTAGTATCCCCTTCACTCTATTGTTGGGAGTATGGTAAAAAAGAAAGCTATCTGCCATCTTTGAGAAGAGCCTTTTTACCTGTGGGAGAAAAAAAAGACACCACGCCTCAGGATGAGTGTGTCTAAATCAGAACAATCATGGTTAAGTAAAATGAGGAATTCTGGAATCCAGGATGAAAATACCTCTCAGACCCTTCACATCATCTTATCTGGAAACCCTACTTTAGTGTTTGATAACACTGAACTGCATTTCTTTTTGATCTGATAGTAATGACCATTCAAATAATAACTATTAGCATAATCATTAAAAATTAAAATAACAATCAACTCAGAAGCTAGGAAAGACTCAGTACAGAACACAGTTAAACGAAGCTAACTGGAATATATTCATTTGGAATATAGAAAATTTGATTCTAAAATAATAAAAATCATACCTAAAGAGAATTCCAAACTTAAAACGCCTTTAAATGTTAAATTATCTATAGTATTTTCAAGCCTACTTTATTTCAATGTATTTTCCCCACAAATGTACCAATTTATATCATTCCATTTATCATACACATGTAGTAAGTATTAGCTGGACAAAGAATCTGGCCTAAAGGAAACAGGAATTGAAGCATGTCCAAAATATGTAACTTTGAATAAAAACTAAGAAGCCATACCAATAGACAAAAGATCCAGGACAGTAAGGAAAGAGGCCAATCGAAAAATTGAAAAATCCATGTGTAAGCAGCTCAAATCTGTGCTGTTCATGGGTCAACTATGTTTGATATCCATGATTGGAAATCTGCATATGCTGGGGCCAACTATAGTTATATGCAGATTTTTGACTGCTTCAGGGTTGGTACCCCTAACCCTCCTAGTGTTCAAGGTTCAAACTGTACAATGAAAAACTATCTTCTTGATCACATTCCTTAACTTAACTTTTTCCCTAATGTAATTAAATAACTGGTTAACTACTTAAATTTTGATTAAATAACTGTTTTACTATTTAAATGTTATCATCTTTCTCCTAATACTTAATATCAAACTCAATTATATCTTGAACAATCACATTTCTTCATTAGTATACTCATGACTGCATCACTGCCTTCTTTCCCCCTTTCTCTCAGATTTAGCTCTGGTCAAATAACACTTCTTTCTGGTTCTCTTTGGTTCACCCAGGATTTCCAAGATATAGCTATAGCGACACCCTATTCAATCTCTACGAAAGCCATAAAAGGAAAAAAAAAAACAAAAAAAAAAACAAACAGAAAGAAAAATAGTATAAGCATCCTAGGCCCATTTAACAAGGAAGGAAGCAGTCCTAGATACATCCATAGTTCCCAAGGACAAAACTGCTACATATAAATATAGTACCAGGACTAAATATGCGTAATAATACTGAGTAATAAGAAAAAAAGTAAATTATGTTCAAATACCTTTTAATATGGTATGTTGTACATATACAGTACGTGTGTGTTTTTGTCAACCATGGTGTATGTACATAAAAAAATCAATTCAGAACATTTCATTTCCCACATGAAGCTTGAACAAGCTACTACTATACCATGTAACTCAGTACTTCTTAAGAGTGAGGTCCTTGAACAATCTTAGGACTAGACTGCTCTTAGGAAGGGAAAATTTGGAATAAGAACAGTAATCCAAAATTGAGAAGTTCCTCAGATGATTTTTATGCACATTAAGTTTGAGAACCAGTGATCTAACTCATTTACTTAGAAGCTTAAAATGCTGAAATAAACAGTCTCTTGCTCATTTCCCTTATTTTACACATGAGGCAAACATTTTATCTGAAATGTATAGTTAGTGATCCTTTTTAAAATCAATTAAAACTTTGAAATTAACTGGTGATACATTTGTTACTGATATTCCATTGAACTACCTGGATTATAATATATACTCAATTTAGTAATATTTTCTCCTGAATCATTCTAGTAAATTAAACTGTTAGGTGTTTTAAAGAAATGTCTACATTTCAGTTGGTGGTATACTCTGAAAACCTTTCAAATTATTGTTGGATACTAACCTACTGAACATTAGCTGACATACTCAGGGGTCTTCATTAGTTGCCTTTCTAAAAATGCACAGCTCTTATTTTTCTATTTTAAGAGAATAGTTATTAGAGAGAGAGACTATTTCTAATTACATGTAGGATCATGTTAGACCATCAATATGAATATAAATTAACTCTTCACCAAAAAAGTTTTCTTTAAATAAAATCTGTAGATTAGTCCAAGTTGTACTGATACTAACTTTGCTCAGGAATACATCCTTATATATACACTTACCAGCAAGCTATATATATATATAGTATATATATATATATATATATTTTATAAGCAAGCTATAGCTACTTTCAATACTGGCATTGTCTACTTTCTTTGATTATAATTTCACCAATCTGCTCTAAAAACCCAAAAAGGAGCATCTGTATGTCTCTTTTTTCTAATACGCTTACTTCTCAGTTTTTCTTTGTCTCTCTGTCAAATTCATCCACGCTTCAACTTTACCCATGAAGAAGCACAAGCATAAGAAAAAGAAAAGGTTTAAAAAAACCTATTGTTTAGCATTCTAAACAGTAACTGGTTTCCCACCATGTATACTTACTACTTTTCTTGCACTACCATCAGCAGTACAAGAAATGAGTAGTGTTTCAAAGGATTTCTCAGTAACAGCTAATAAAACAAAACCAGCAAGATACCTTTGGTAAATCCATAAAACTTGGTCGAGCAGTTGAAATAAGTCCAAGTGTTTTTAAAGAGCAATTCACAAGTTGTGATAATATATCACAAGCTGCTTCAGCTGATTCTTTGCTGCTGTCCACCTTAGAAGAGAAAACATCATTTACCCATGGGTATATTTACATTTTGTGTGCATATCCTAACTCTACAAAAGCCAAGAAATATATTTATTAGTTTAGTGCCTTATAATTTAAAGAATATTGATTTTTTCAATCACCCAACCTCACATATCACATCAGACTTTTCTGAGTACCCCTGAAAAATTATAAGGGCAACTGTCAAGACTTAACTTTTGTTATAAGATATATATTTAATCTTGAAAGGACTTGGCTTTTAAATTGATTTATTCCAAACTGACTGCATAACATAATGGTATGCATGAATTTATCTTCGAAAAGTAATTATACAAGGACAGTAATACCTTGGTTTGTGAGCATAGTTCGTTCTAGAAACAAACTATTCGTATTGCAAGACATCGCTTGTTCACCACGTTAAAACATATTAGAAATGTTTGCTCGTCTTGCACAACACTCGCAAACCAAGTCACTCGCAATCCAAGGTTTTACTGTATTTGGTAGTGGATCTGATCATACATATAATTGCAGTGTCTACGGTACATGTTTCAAGACTCCAGAAATTGAATAAGTAATCAGAAGGTTCAAGTGAATCACAACCTAGAATTCGTCATTAATGTTATTAATGAAAAAATGAATGTGAAGTACAACGAGGGCCTCCAATCAGTCAGGCATGAAAATCTGAACCAAATGAGAAGTAGCTGCTCTTCTGCATAGATATTTCCTGGGAGAAAGGTAATATGGCCAAAAAACTCCTCAAGGATGTAAGGAGCTCTTTTATCAAAAAGCAAGTTGTTCTCTGGGCTAAAAAACATCTTAGAATATAGTTAAAAGTAATACCATTACTTTTATTTCCAGATTAATGTACATTAGCTTAACAAAAAATGTTGTGAAGAGTTGGTTGTACAGCTGATGTGCTGATTTATATTAAAGTTTCAGAGCTATTTATACTATTATCCTTTGGCTAAGTTTCTCTGCTCCAGTGGTTCTCAAAGTGTGGTCCCTGGACCAGCAGCATCACCATCACCTGAGAACTTGTGAGAAATGCAAACTCTCATGTCCAACCCAGACCACCTGAATCAGAAACTCTGTGGGGTGGAGCCAGCAATCTTTGTCTCAACACGCACACTAGGTGGTTCTGATGCACATAAAGTTTGAGAACCACAGTTCCACACTAATAACTATAAGCCTCTTTCGTCTATAGTCAGTGATGAATGAAACATAAATATCAGGAGAGCACAAAAGAATCCTGTGATGTGGCTCTTTCTGCAAATCAAAAATTATTTCCTCAGCAAAATAAACAAAATAATAAAAATGTTTACATTTATAGGACAAATGGTTTTGTGAGGGTTATGCAAGTTGGACACAGCTGAATAGTGCCACAAGGCTATAAAAGATTAATACTGACCCAGCCAATCCAATGGATGGAAGTAGTCATTAGGCCTGTAAGATTAACGTGTTATACTCATCTTTTTTATAGGATTTAGCATTAGAATGCTCTCAGACAACTCAAAGATGACTGAAACCAAAGGGAAAGCTCTTCAGGTTTCTTTACGGGGAGGAACAACACATGAGGAGCCCCTGGATTTTTGTTCTTTCTACCATTACCCTACCCTTGCCCCTAGTTAGGATTGCTAGGTAACATACAAGATATCAAATTAAATAAGTACTAAGTATTTTCCAAATAATGCACGGGGCATATTTATATAAAAAATATTTGTTGATTGTCTGAAATCAAATTTAACTAGGCTTCCTCTAGTGTTATTTGCTAAGCCTAGCAATTCTACCCCCAGTGGCCTAAGTGCTTTTATGCACCTTTCTGGGAAGGAGGCCGTAATACACTCAACCATTCCCATGACCAGGTCTTTCCTCCTCCTTGGACACATATAGATGAAATAGATGAATAAGCATTCCATTTGAGAAGGAATAACATTCTTGGGAGCAGGCAGGACTCTAGTTTTGGTAAGGAACTCTGGGTGAAGAATCATTGTTTTATCTAGGTTTAACTTGACCTGTTTAACAATTGTTACATACAGGTAAATTCATGCGTTACTTTTGAAAAATAATTATCAAGTGTGTTAAGAATTTAGTAAATGTACCCATATTCCATTATTAATCCCCAGAAAAAAAAACATAACAAGCTTCTGTACTCATACAAACCACTGTGATTCCTTGAGCTATTCTGGACATCTCAAAAAGCTACCCCACTTCATTTATCTCATCACTGCATGATCTCTAATATGTCCCTTCCAGCAATGAAAAGAAACAAAGTTCTTTCTGGCATTCCTCCATGCACATTTTTCTATTGTTCTCTAAAATATGTTCATCTAAACCTTTTACATAAAATTTCTATATCTCCTTTTTCTTTGAAGATCCCACATTATAAAGCCATCAATAAGCAAGCTCAGTCCCTATTAGGCAGAAATAACAATTAAGTTTTAGTCAATCATAATCTGCCCATTTAAAAATTTTTATTGTATATTTCTTTTTCCTCAAATTGTCCATAATAATTCAACAGCTTTGGTCAATGATTTATTCTTATTGCTTCTACTCTTTTAAGAAATTGATAATTATAATAAAAGTAATTTAGCTTAAATATAATTATTTGTGACAGCTTCTAAGGTACACGATAATTCTAAATCTTTAAGTACTTTCCCTAAAAAGGCAAAATTTCAAAAGACATGAGAAGATGTATTGATTTAGGATACAAAAGCCACTAAATATGCTTTATTTTTTTTAGAAGAATTTAAAGTATTACCTTGAAGCTGACATACTGTAGATGGTTTGAATGTCTTTTAATAATCTGTTTGATCAGCTCTGGATGTGTAGCTTTCAAATAAGATGTAGCTGGCTGATTCAGTTCAAATTCAAAACATCTCCATAAGTCAGGCATATGAAATACCTGGTTCCAGTTGCGGCAAACTTGTGAAGCATGAGCCCGGTCAAGAAGAGGCAAATACTTAAACACGTGGAGAATAATGTCCTGCAGGAGATTACCCCAATCACAAGTCTGAGAATGCTCATCTGTAGTCCTCAGTTTCTTGGATTTCTCTGCAGTACCTTCTTCTGAGGAATTATGGTCACTATCTCTTCCTCCTCGTTTCATCCTATTTAGAAAAAATGTGTAATTTTTTTCATACTTCACTTTTAAATAGAAATAAATCCAAAACTCATTCTTCTGTCACTGAGTTGTATATATATATATATGTATTTGTAAACACAAACACATCTATAAAACTAAACCACTAATTCCAGAAGAATATCAAAACAAAATATAATGAAAAATTTCAGTGAAGACTGTCATTTTACTAATTCTATACAGGTGTTTTCGAACATTTGTATTTATACTATACTACTTAGTGAAAAAGTATCATAATTTTGAAACTAAACCAAGAATTTATATTTCAAAAGTTGTGGTCAACTAACTAAAAGGAACGTAAAAGAGAACTGACAGTGACACTTTCTAAAAGTTTCTCAAGTCATCTGAGGATACCTGCTATATTTGAGTTCTTGAATTCAAAGCAAACCAGAGTCCCAGAAACCTCCAGAGAGGAACTGAATTAAGTAACCAACGTATCTTTCCACATTCAGTCTGTGATACATGTTACTGTGAGACCCAATCTCTGCTAAAAATAAGCAAACTCATCCCTATTATGCATTATTTGGCCTGGAATGTAGTTTCTTCTTCTAACACATCACTTACTATTGCAGTATTTTCCTCAAGTTGCATTTCTGAATTAGAGGTACATGTATTTGTATTACCTTCATTCCATTGGTTTCTTTGAAAATAGTCCTTTTATTGCAAAATAGGATGGTTAAATAGAATGGGCTCTGGGCCGGCTGAGTGGCTCAGTTGGTTAAGAGCTCGCTCAAGAGTTTGAGCTCTGAGCAACAGCGGTTCGAGTCAGCCCGAGCTGAGCAGCCGCTGAGCTGCCAACAGGTGGCAGGATGGCTCGGCTAAAAAAACAAACAA